AGGTTAGCCTTAGGGTTTGTGGTCAGGGTTAGGATATAAAATTACCCAAAAATGAATGGAAGTCAATGGACAGGTCCCACAATGTTATGATTGAGCTTGGTTGGTTTGAACCACAGGATTCAAGACTGAGTGAAGTGGCAAAAAAGGTTTATTAAAGCAAAAACAAAGGTGCTGACATGGCAGCAAACAAAAACAAGGGCTTTGGACAGGGACAGGAACATGAACATGAACATGAACATGAACATCAAACAGTAAACAAGGATCTGACAAAGACTGAGGACAAAGGACAGAATATAAAGGAAGAACTAATGAGGTAAAACAAGAAACACCTGGGGAAGAAACATGAGGATCAGGTATGAGTGGGTGGGACTAGAGCAAAGGCAGACAGGAGGAAGAAAACAAGAGGAAAAGACAGAAAAACTTAGAATAAATCATGGGCACAGACACAAATCATGACATAGTCCCCCCAATAAGGGACGGCTCCTGACGTCCAACAACAAAAACACACACAAGCATGGGAGGGAGGTGGGTGATGCAAGCAGCAATGACAGGATTGAGGGCTAGAAACAAAGACAACAAGGAACACAAGACTCAAGACAAATGAAGCAACAAGAACCAAAACCCGACAGGGAACCCCTGGGAGAAAAAACAAAACTAGAAAAAGTCATTGATGGCCCTAGGCACATCTGACAAGTCGCCCCAATTCTGGTGGACGACCAGGAGGGCCAACAGGAACCAGAGCTGGAGGGCCCACAGGAACCAGGGCAGGAGGGCCCACAGGAACCAGAGCAGAAACTGGAGCATGAGGACCAGAATCAATGGAGTGGGGAGGGTGGTCCCCAGAAACCCCCGGTGCCGCCATCTCTGAAGAACACTCTGATGAAAAAAGGCCCTTCAGGACAGCCAGCTCGCTTTGCATCCTCTCCATTATTCTCAGGATTCCAACCTGAGGAGTGCAGTCAGACTCTGGGCCACCATATGAAAAAAAAATTCTCCATGATCCCTCCTGGTGCAGGAAACAAAAATAAAAAATAAAAATTCACTTCAGTCTGCTGGGGTTCAGGTGTGGTCAGATCCTTCTGTTATGACTGAGCTTGGTTGGTTTGAACCCCAGGCTCCAAGACTGAATGAAGTGGCAAAAAAGGTTTATTAAAGCAAAAACAAAGGTGCTGACGTGGCAGCAAACAAGAACAAGGGCTTTGAACATGAACATGAACATGAACATGAACATGAACATGAACATGAACATGAACATGAACATGAACATGAACATGAACATGAACATGAACATGAACATGAAACAGTAAACAAGGATC